CACACCCTGCTCAGGTGGCAGTGTAAAACAAAACTTAACAAAAATGATTACAAGATCAAATTGACGACAGCCTAGATCACTGAAGTCATGAGCCATACACATAAACAAATGTATAAAACTTCTCCATGATAGAAAGAGAAAAAGTTCTTTCAATTTTTGATATAAATTAATTTACTTACTTCCTACTTTGCAGTTGTAAATCAGGAGCAGAGGGCTCTTTCTTGGCCATTCCCTCCGCCTCACTCCCCCCAGCAGTCAGTATCGTCGCAGAGCTCCAATTCCCTCAGTGGGGGATCCTCCCCAAGCAGGGTGCCCCTTCAAGTCAGCTCAGCTTCTGCGGTTGTAGGCAATAGAGACGACAGCCCACAGTCCCCTCTCATCGAGCGTTGCAGGGCAAGACGCACCAGGTAAGAAATGGCATGCATCCCCGTCTTTCCTATGGACGGTATAAGGTACAATGTGATGTGTTTTTACTGACAATCTTTTAAAATAATTCACATGTCTGCTGGGATTTGTCACAGAATGAGGAGGAAATACACTTCTCATAAAAATTAAGGGTACACTTAATCGTCACAGTACAACAGCAAGTCAGTTAAATGTCAGGGAAATCAATGTGTCCATTTAGGAAGCGCAAGTGGTAAGGAATCAGTTTCACCTGCTTTGGTTAAAGTTAAAGTGACAACAGGTGCAATAGAGAAGCAAAATCAAGACAACCCCCAAAAAGGGAATGGCTTTGCATGTGCTGGCCACAGACAGCTGCCCTCTCTTTATCCTTCCTGACTAATTCTTTTTTAGTTTTGTGTCCTGCCAGTGTCCTTGTCACTACTGGTAGCATGAGGCGGGATCTGCAGCCCGATCAGGTTGCACAGGTAGCTCCTCCAGGAATGCAGATCCATACATGCAGTCACAAGAGGGTTTGCTGTGTCTACCAGCACATTCTCAAGAGCATGGAGGACAGGGCCATAGAATGGCATCAACCTAGCAGCAGGACTGGTATCTGCTCCTTTGTGTGAGGAGGAATAGGAGGAGCAATGCTAGACCCCTACAAAATGACCCCCAGCAGGCTACAGGTGTGCATGTTTCTGACCAAACTGTCAGAAACTTTCTGTCAATATTCTCAAAGGGTCGCACAAACCTCCATGTCATAGCCAAAGGTACCTTGACTGCTGTTAGGTAATGGGATGAAATCCTCAGAGAGATTGCTAGACCTTATACTGGTACAGTAGGCCCCGGGTTCCTCCTGGTGCAGGACAATGCCCGGCCTTATGTGGCCAGAGTTTGAAACCAGTTCCTTGATGATGAAGGCATTCATGACATTGACTGGCCCTCTAGTTCCCCTGTCCTAAATCCAAATGAGCACCTATGGGAAATTATGTACTGGTGCATCCGACGTTGCCAAGGACCACCACAGACTGTGCAGGAGCTCACTGATGCCCTGATCCAGGTCTGGGAGGAGATCTACCCAGGACACCATCAGACAACTCATCAGGAGCATGCCCACCTTTTTGGGTGTGCATACAGGCATGTGGGGGCCATACACAGTACTGAGTAACATTATGAGTTGCTGTGATAAAAGTCACGCAAGTTGGATCTGATCACCCTGAGTTTTCAATTTTTTTCTTGGATTTTCGGTATGATTTTGAATCCAAGCCTCACTGGGTTAATGATTTAGCTTAATGATTGACCATTGTTACATAATTTTGCCCTCAACAAAGTAAAGATTTTCACCTTGAATAATTCGTCAATCATCAAGATCTGATGTGTGATTTAAGTGTTCCCTTAATTTTTTTGAGCAGTGTATAATCTGCACAGTGTGTTGGCCTGAGAAACAGAAAATAACTGCTATTTTACAGTTTGTGAGCATATACATTTAATTGTCTTTGCCATTACGACTGTCATCTAACTATTTACTAAAAATCCCTGCATTTTGAGTGGATCCAGCCACAACATTTCACTGTTCACTGTTTCAATGCCCCTCTGGAGCAGGGTTGAAGTTATGTTAATGGTGTCAGCCACTGAGAAATCTATGGGTAGATTACTTCACTAAAACTGTCAGATAATTATGTCAACATTTAAACTAATGGATAACTTCAGGGGCTTAACAATCATAAATGAGACAAAAATTAATATCTGAAAATTGTTGTTATACAATCACTAATCATCAATCAATCAAATTGGATTACAGCACATAGTCACAAATCACAATTAGTCTCATAAGGTTAGACCCCACATTAGCCAAGACAAGAACACTAATTTAAATCAAACCACCTGTCTAAGCCTGATTCAGTGGCATCTCCAGGTTGCTCCTATTTAGCCTTAACCGGAAAGTCCAGACAGTGGTCCAAATCAAGGTTGTATGCATTCGATCTGGTTAGTTATGGTTTCACATTGCACTTCAGGGAGCGAACTAAAGACTTTTATATGACATAAATACTTCCTGTCATCATCACCTAGGTGGGCTTCGTCTTCGTACTTGACATTAGTTGGCTTGTATTTGGGAATAAGTCTGATGTTGGTATGTTGTAGTTATTGTATCTTTTTTGAATTAAGTAGAATTAAGTTGAAAATGTCCACTTTCCATTTGAATGGAGAAAGTAATCCAGGCAGTTAATGTTTTTATTTTCATTGCTACTGTAATATTATTATGCTATTACTACCAGTATCACCATTCAACAGTATGACCACATTATCATCCGAGGGGAAGACAGTGAGCAATGCTGTGAGCTGTTTTCACTTTTTCTTCTGTTTTTTAATGCTAATTTTTTTTAGTGCAACCAGTTGAAGGGTCTGAAGTTTTTTCAAACTGCAAACACGCAGGACGGTGGTTCAGTTTGATCTGGACCTAGACCACCCCTTTTGGTAGGACTCAATTTAGTTCTGTGGGTCTGGACTGTTGTCCGAGGCACCTTTCACACCTGTTATTTTGGTTTGCATTAAACTGAAAAGACAAAACGTCTCGACCAAAACAGGGCGGTATGAAAACACTTTAAGTTGCATCATGCGTTTGAACCCTGATACTTGTGTACTGATTGAATGTTTGCTGACGTTGAAACACAATGCACTATTCCTAATACGAGTTTTATATGAGATGGGAAAGCTGCATTGTGTAGAGGGCTGGTGTCAGTGTTTGGCAGATGAATGCAACATTTCTCTTATTGATCTCTTAATTGTGTCCAGTATAAAGAACCAATACCTGCTCTCTCCTGTCTATTTATTCTACTAAACCACAACTTTCTAAACACTGTCTCTTTCTCTCTCTTTCTCTCTCTTTCCCTTCCCCATCATTGTGTTGTTCAACCATTCCACCCCATTTATCTTATTTGACCTCTTGATACATTTTGTTATCTCACCCTAACGCTGTCATCATCAACCGCTAATATAGTTCTCTTAATAGATCTCAGCTGGGCTTCCATTGACCAGCCACTGACTGCCACTGACTGGCACCATAGGATTCTTCCTTTTAAAGGAATGGTTCTGGTGTCTTAGTTTACTCGATAGCCTGTTTCATTTATGTGGAGAAAGAGACTAATGTTTATTACTGGACAGAAATCAGGAGAAGCTCTCTTAGGCCTTTTAGAAACATATTTCCCTCCTAGCAGCAGAGGGGATAGCTTGATAGCTCTGTGTTATCTTGTCACTTTTGCTTATTTTTTTTAGAACCAATTAAATCTGTGCCACACAACTGCAATGGAGATTGCCTTTTATCATACTACAGTTACGTACATGCATTAACCATTGTTAGTAACCAAACAATACTAATGATTGTTAAATTTTCACGTTTTATGTTTGGTGGCATTTATACACCCTGAATGCATTGTTTTCTCTTTGTTTTGTAATTATGTCCCTTTTTACCTTTGTTTCCTTTTTGTTTGCTGTTACTTAATTGTCCTTTGGCTTGCACTTCTCTCCCGTCTTCTACTCTTGTTCTTTTTTTTTCACCATGTTCTCTATCCTCGTTGCTAGCTGTTGCCATCTCCCCTAAAGCCAACAGGGTCTAGCTGCTAGATGCAGCCTGAACCATTGGCACTTGGACAACAGAGCTGTTGGACTGCTCGACAGGCATACACATGCCAGGTAAGATTTAGTGAAGATGTTAATGGCAGTCAAAAACCTTTTTAGACTCATACAGGGAAGTCATACTGGCCTCATCAGTCAAAGTGAAAAGGGTGCTTTATTATTTGCCTCCTGCCTTCTAATGCAGCTTATAGTTAAGATATGGGAAATTCAAGTGGTTTAGTCATGTAAAACAGTGCTGCAAGGCAACTGCAACATTGACACTGATGTTACAAGCTGGCAGGCATGTAATGTAATGAAGGTAATGCAAAGGCATATTGACTAAGGGAAGAGATTAGATGAAGCTCTTGAAAATATAATGTGTTATAAACTTTTGAAGAAAATCTCAATAAACAAACATTGCTAAAATAATCATCAATGCAGCAAAAAGAATTACCTTTGCCATTTCTAAAAAAACATGGCAAAACTTGTTCTGTTGTCTGAGGCCATAAACACCACAAGAAGGGGTGTTAATATGGACTCTATGGTAACATGACCCCATTTAAATGTGGCAATATGCTGACTGGTCTTCATGTATTAGTATTACATGGTATCACGGTTCTACACACTATTGATCACTTCACTTTATCAATGTGTCCCCAAATCCTCCTCAGATGTTCAAAGGACTGTAATGCACAGAAATGTTTAGAAAATGTGTACAGATGAGTACAATGTGCTCAGGATTCTTTGTTTTCCTCAGTCAAAATGCTTCAGTTCTACGCATCTCTCAATACGACTAGGATGTTAGAAGGTATTAGAGTAATAACATAGCATCCTGACCTGTGTTTATCTGGCTCTAATTTCAACAAATTAATGGTGATGAGCTGCAGCATATTAGGTTAAAAATGTATTAAATGCCTGTTCACTCCACACATAGTTTAATAGACCCATAGGTCTACGATTCTCATTCCCATTTGGGCTTCTTAGGTCCATGTACTTTACAGCCAAAGTGTCATTCCGTCTAGATATAGGGATACAAAAAAATAAAAACATTTTCCATTTTGTGTTTTGATAATGAAAAATGGAAAATGAAAACACGATATGCTATCTGATTTCCTTTGGAAATCTGGAAGTAAAATAAGTGTTTGGAAATCTTATTTTTCTTTTAAATGTCATCCTATGATATATGAGTACAATGTTAGCACCATATATGTGATTTTAAAGCACCATATTGCAGAAATAGTGAATGATAAGCTCAGTACTTCCAGGACAGTGGTCTATGGCTGCATGATATTAGGAAAACATGCGATGACTATGTTCAATATCGTAATGTTGATATGAGTTGCGATAAATCAACATAAACAGTCCCTTGCTACGGATGCAGAGACCACAGACTTCTCCACAGCCAAATGTCTCCACAGAGAAGGCGGACAGCCTGGCCATACCACTGTTTTCCTTTTTGTGTTATGATAATGAAAAACGGGAAGTGAAAAAACGATATGTTATCTGATTTTCTTTCGAAATCTGGAAATAAAATAAGTGTATGGAAATCGTACTTTTTATTTTCGTGTTGATTTTTTTGTTGTGACCTGGAAGTGACTCCCTGGAGTTTGACTGTTACATGTTCAGGATGTCAGCCCTGCTGCCACTTAGCATTCTCTCACAAGAGATGGATGAGTGGATGTGAGGTATTTTTCATTTCATCCAATTAAACAGATGTATGGCAGTAGTCTGTGCATTACAGATGATGCAATCTTTCCAGAGCCAACAGGACGTTTTTGCACCCTCTATCTTTACATTGCGGCCATTACAAGGTCCACAGAGATACAGCGCAAAATCGTCTCCATGCTAGCAGAGCCCTACCCACTGCTGTTGTCATGCAGCGACACTCACCTTCAGCTTCAGCTTCTTCTTTCACTGAAACACCACAAGCTTCACCTGGAATTTCACTTGCTAGCTGCCTGTTCCCAGCAAGATCGTTCCAAGGGTTAGCCTACTTGTTAAATATGATCTCTGTGACTAAAATTTAATCCTATGATATATGATGTTATAAAGGGGCTCAATTGCTTTAAAATGATTGTTTTATACGTTTTTTGTCTACCTTTAATAATGATATTGGCCTATAATCCCCACAATATTGTTATGTGTCAACTTCTCTCTACAGATCTTGTACCAATCTGCAGGGTATCCATTGTTGAGGCATTTTTGACCATGCCCACACATTACTGTATATGCCACTATATATTATGTATATAGTGTATATTACACTATATCTGTACACCATTTGGAGAACAGTTCTGTTTAATTCCACAGATACTCCCATTTCTCTTCGCAGTGCCCAAGGTCAGGTTATAGATAAAAGGCCAACTAGCAGTACATTGTAGTGTCTATGCTAATGGCCTTTCATATCTACTGTAATTCAGATATCCCAGACAGGGAGGCACCAACCTCAACTCTTTTGCGTATTACACCAAGATGTAAGGACACAATGTGATTTAGGAATGCATACTTTAGGATAAACTATCCAATAGGATAAACACCTACATGTAACATAGAGAGTAATAGCAATTCTACACTTTCATGGATGTTCTGTTGGAATGGGTGACTCAAGTAGAGGGAGATATATGGGGATGCTGTGGGAGGCACCTTCAGACTTGGGGGTGACAATTGCTCATGTTACTCTGTTCGCGTTTGTATATTGTTTCACCTTCTGGTCTCCTTGATGCATCAAGTCTACATTAAAATCCTCTGTATGAAATATTCATATCCGACCGGGAGATGTTTAGTTTTCTTTTCTATAGTTGGACACATCTAGACCTTATAGAGTTCAAKTAGGAACTACTCAAGTCTAGGAAGGGGCCCCCATGAGAGATGAGGATTTCCCCTTCACCCACCAACGGGGACTCGGGGCACAGTTTACCCCACTGTYTGAAGTCACAATTGTTTGGGTTCATGTTGTTGTATTTACTGTTCATGAGTGTTTTGTTCAGAAATGTTTGGGAGTATACTTACAAATAATAGCAAAACAAAATTATGACTAATCATATCAAAATAATGTYGTTGAATGTAAATGGTCTTAATAGTCCAATTAAAAGACAAAAGGTCATGACAAAACTTAAAAAAGAAAAAGCACAAATAATTTTTCTTCAGGAGACCCACCTGTCACAATCAGAACATAATAAACTTAAAAAATATGGCTACAGGAACTTATACCATAGTTCATTTAAAGGAGGATGTAGAAGAGGAGTAGTGATACTGATWTCAAATACAACTAAGTTTGACCTTGAGAAGGAATGCAGGGATAAGGAAGGAAGATACGTTATAGTAAAAGGAAGAGTAGAGAATGAACTAGTAACACTAGTAAACATATATGCACCTCCGGAAAGTGACAAATCCTTTTTTAAATGTCTATTTGATGACATCATAGCAGAAACAGGAGGTATTTTGGTCTGTGGGGGAGACCTAAATGTAATTAGAGACCACAAAATAGATACAACTAGTCTCAAAAAGAATAAAATGCATTTGACAAGATTCATAAACATATCCTTGGAAGAGATGGGGATGATTGATGTTTKGAGGAATCTACACCCCCTGGAAAAAGACTTCACGCATTACTCTGCAGCACATAAAGTYCATTCAAGGATAGATTACTTTTTTATGAATGTAGAGGATAACCATATGGTACGAGAGTGCAGGATAGGGGGCGCAGATGTGTCAGACCATAAYCCACTCTATTTAACAATAAACTTAAACAATAGAAGACGTYWTACAGTATGGAGACTTAATCTGGGAATTATGAATAATGATCAAACAAGGAAGAAGGTAAAAACGGAAATCGAAAGATACATAGAAGAAAATAACAATGGCACTGTAGACCCAACAATTYTTTGGGATGMCATGAAGGCAGTCATCAGAGGAAAACTGATAGCTGAAACTGCACATGCAAAAAGAGCTAAAGTGGAGGCCTATAAAATGTATAATGAAAAGTTAAGGGAATTGGAACAKGAATACCAAAATACTAATGACTCCGAGATAAGTCAACAAATTAAAGAAACAAAAACAAAAATTAATGACATACTATTGGAYGAAATTGAAAAAAAGAATAAATATTTTAAACTGGGCTACCATGAAGTAGGTTCAAAGGCCACTAAAATACTGGCAAAGCGTATAAGAAAACAACAAGCAATTAGTAATATATACAAAATTAAAGATCCCCATACAGGTGAGATAGTATCTACTCCGGATGGTATCGAAAATATCTTCCAAAGATATTACCAAGACCYATATACACAACCTGCATCTGCAGAAGAGAATGAAATGATTGCATTCCTGGAGATGCTAGATCTACCCTCAATTGGACGTACACAAAATGATAAATTAACAGCAGAGATTACACTGGAGGAGGTAAAAGATGCAATAAATACATTGAAAAACAATAAATCACCGGGAAGTGATGGATAYCCAGCAGAGTGGTATAGGATGTTTAGAGAAGAGCTGTCACCACTGCTCCTTGCCTCTTTCAATTGGACTCTCCAAAACAATAAAATACCCCCATCATGGGCTGAGGCAATAATTACAGTCATTCCRAAACAAGGAAAGGACAAAGAACACTGTGCAAGCTATAGACCAATCTCAATATTAAWTGTTGACTATAAAATATATACAACAATAATTTCTAAACGACTGAACTCCTTTATACCAGAAATAATAGAGGAAGATCAAACGGGATTTATAAGAGGACGCCAGACACATGACAACATTAGAAGAACATTACACGTAGTGGAACAAGCAAGAAAAGACAAAAAGAGCACTGTATTAGTAAGTATTGACGCAGAGAAAGCTTTCGATTGTGTCAATTGGAAATTTTTATATAAAGTGTTAGAGAGATTTGGCTTTAGTAATAAATCAATACAGTGCATAAAGACACTCTATCAACAACCAACTGCAAGAATTAAAGTCAATGGGAGCCTGACAGACAAGATTAGATTACAGAGATCAACGAGGCAAGGATGCTGCCTATCACCCACTCTGTTTGCCCTTTTTATAGAGCCGCTTGCGCAGGCTATRAGACAGGAACAAGAGATCAAAGGAGTGGTGGTAAATGATGTAGAACAAAAAATAGGACTTTTCGCAGATGACGTCATAACCTACCTCGAACGCCCAAGTGAATCATTACCTGCATTGATGAAACTTTTGGTAACATTTGGACACTTATCAGGATATAAAATAAATGTCGCAAAGACACAAATATTAGCGCTTAACTATAGTCCACCAAAAGAGATCCAAGAATTATTTAAACTTAATTGGAAACTTAAGGGAATTGAATATCTGGGGGTCACAATCACAAAAGGATTATCTAAATTATATGAATCAAACTATGGTAAGATAAATCAGGAAATACAAAAAGATATTGAAAGATGGTCTACACTAACACTAGATCTCAGCTCACGGATTCAGATAATCAGGATGAATGTTTTACCAAGGCTTTTGTACCTGTTCCAATCCCTACCAGTAGAGGTCCCACAGTCTCAGTTTATGAGCTGGAATAGAATAATTTCAAGGTTTGTTTGGGGTGGAAAGAGACCTAGAATAAGATTGGAGACTCTCCAGCTGCCAAAAGAAGAAGGTGGGATGGGACTTCCCAATTTGAAAACATACTTTCATGCAGCCCAGCTGAGGTATGTTGTTGGATGGTGCAAACCAGATTACACTGCAAAGTGGAAAGAGTTGGAAATACAGCTTGGTGRATACCCAGTACAGAGTATTATAGGAGATGAAGACACATACAAGGTGATTAAAAACCAAATAAACCCAATAACGATGTTTACACTAAAATTATGGTTCAGCWTAATAAAAAAATATAAGATTCAAAAAGACGYTAATTCATTAAAATGGGTAGCATATGATAGCAAATTCAAACCAGCTGGATACGATAATGGGTTTAAGTGGTGGACTGCCAAGGGAATCACAGCGTGGTGTGTACTAATGAAGAATGGGCAGCTRGAGAGTTTCCAAAATATAAAAGAAAAATTTGATCTGGATAAACAGGAATTCTATAGGTACCTACAACTTAGAGATTACTTTCTGAAAGAGATCAAGATGGACCCCTCCGGAGAAGTGAATGGTGTGATCCAACTCATAATCAATACATACAAAGAAAACAAAGTTAGAATTGTTTCCGGGTTATATAAAAAATTAATATCAAATAAACACTCAACTAAATACATAAAAGAAAAATGGGATGAAGAGTGGCTAAACATGTGGAAAATACACCACACATCCACTAATTCACGGATCTGGAGGGAGTTCTCCTGGAAAAATCTGATTCGTTTTTTTATTTCACCCAAAGTCAAGAGTAAACAGTTGAATAAAAATATGCCTTGTTGGAGAGACTGTGGAATRATGAACGTGGATCACTCGCACATTTTCTGGAAATGTGAYAAAATCAGGTGGTTTTGGAAAATGTTACACGATGCATTGTTGAAAATACTTGGATATAAGATTCCAATGTCTTGTACAGTAATGTATTTGTGTAACCTATGTGAAGAAAATATA